CCCTCCCCCCCCCCGCCGCCTTCCCTTCCCCTCCCCTCCCCTCCTGCCCTCCCCCGCCTCCGCCCGGGCTGCCTTCGAGGGGAGGTACGAGGTGCCCGTGAGTTTGAGATTTCGGTTGGCTACAGCGGCCTGATGCTAAGAGGAGTTTGTTTGGTCGGTTTTGCCTTGAACAAACTAAAGGCAAGTGCCTTAGCCGTAAACTTGGCGTTTACGCTTGTTTTCTTCCCCAGCGGAGAGAGCCAGAGGGGTGCCAGGAGAATTGCTGCATGAGGCCATGGATTTTCTCACTCCAGAGTGGTGATAAACAGGCTGAAATTCCCATCTTTTACCCTAGGAAAATATTAGGGTTGCCCGCTGCTGGCTGAGGAATTCATTCAAAGGGAACGTGGTCTGACCTTTACGTGGATTCTGCCTCCCGGGTGGGCTCCCGGGACCGGGTGAAGGCATCGCTTCCCTGCGCTCAATTAAAATATCAGCCAGCATCACTCCAGCATCGGGGGCTGCGAAAGGGCTTTGTGATCACAGCTTGTCTACAGGTAGAGCTTTAGTCAGAATAACCCCCCTGCTTTTTACGTAGGGTCAAAATGCCTTCCGAGGGCTGACGTTTAAAGGCTGTGGGAAACTTCATACGAATGGAGCGCCTCAGAAATCAGGAGCCAGGGGTCTGGGAGGGACGGGCTACTAAGCTGACAGCTGTTTCGAGGAAAAGGTTGCTTCATGTTAGGAAGCTGAGGTGAAATCCAGGCCATTAAATCAATGGGAGGATTGCTACAGGAGTAAATAACAGGAGGGGTTCACGACTCCAGCTAGTTCGCTTTTCAGTACTGTACTTGTCGCTGTGGTGTCTGAATGCCTTTCAACAGGCACTGCGAGGGCTGAGTTCCTCCGAGAGTGATGTCATTTATTTGCGTACGTTAACACAGGTTCAGAGACCTGATATTAAGCATCAAATCTGCGGTCCCATTTTGCAGTGAGTTTTAGCTCTCTGTGGGTACAGGACACCTCCTGCCTCTTGCAGTCTAGGGGCTTTCAGTGCCCAGTTTAACTGTAATTACGTCTCATTTCTCAAAACATCTTTTCTGATCACCTTTAAAATTGCATACATTTTTGCTGTAGCTTCCAAACAGTACCAGCTATAATTCTAAATTATATGTTAAGTTCGTCCCAGTTTCTCACTTTTCTGTTCTGCATGTGTTGGACAATTACAGAGACCAGTGTCTTGTCAAGGTAAATTATTTCAACTTTTTTTTTTTTTTTTTTTTTTTTTTAAATAATCCTAGCTCAAACAAGGACAAAAGCAGACACGAATGCAGACACCGGACATCCATTTTACCTGGAAAAGCTTCAGGGAAGTCTCCTGGGGTGATTAAAAAGGCAACTCGGGTCTCAGGCATGGAGCGTGAGACTTGCATGAATGATGCTGATCGTATGTTCTCAGGTACTGCCCCTCACCCGGCTCCTTCCTTGCTCTGTGATCCCCCAGGAGCGTGTCCGTGGTGCTCTGCGTCCGCTCCCCAGCCAGCATCATGCACAGCTGGGTAATCATGGCAATAAGGTCCCTTCTCCTCTCCAACCCCATTCCCTCCTACCCTTTTTTAGAGCCTGCCTCTTTAGATATTGACAGTTTTGTCTGTCCATCTAGTTCCAAAGGCTGATCTTACTGCCCTGAACCTTTTCACAGTATTGTTTTTATTGTCATTTTTGCAGGAAACACATGGATCTCTATGGAAAGTACTAAAAATATGATGTCATTTCAACACCTTACCTTAGGCACCTCACACCTCATAAAGCCTAAGGATTTTCTGATCTTGAGTCTTCTTTTTTCTTTTGCTTATAGTGCTATAAACTCCTCCTTGCTCAGTGTTGACCCCTGATTACCAGCTTACATGTTGTGCAAGTTCCACTGGTGTCTTCTTGTGAGTTGTACAGTGTGAGAGAGAATCAAATATTTTATGCTTGGACTGATAATGTTTGCCTAACAAAATATAGATGTAATTCTGAATTACTGTGCCACTAGCGCATTCTAACCATGATGTCTGATGAGATTTGTTAACATTTTTGTGCGCTTGCATTATTTAAGCTGCTTTTACAGGATAGTATTTTCAGCTGATTGGCAGATTCACGTTCTGGGTTTATATTTGAATAAAATCTCTTCCTGCTGTCCTTGGCCTGGTTTCCAAGCCACTGGCTTAACCAAGCTTTATTGTCATCTTTCTGCTGCTTTGGATGTCAGCACACTTTGCAGAATGAAAAGGGTACCAAACCGATGTGAAGCAGAGAGAGAGAGAGAGGCAAAATGTGGGCAGGGAAACAAAAATTTCAAACTGACATGACAACTCCGGTATGCTCAAACTCAAGCAGTGGGAGGAGGTCTCCTCTGTTGAAAGCAAATATGAAAAAAACCCACACCAAACCAACCTCCCCCAAAAGAAAAAAAAAAAAAAAGTATTGTATTGCAAGAGATGTGAAGAATTTGACAGAAAAGGGAGAGCAAGATCTACAGAAAAAAGACAGAAACAAATCTGTAGGGATTTTATAAAATCAATAATGATATATTGATTTTAAGGCCAGAAAGGACCACAGTACTCTTCTGCACTGACTTCTGATTACACTGGCAAACTTTTACACCAACCTATGACAAATACCTATTGCTTAATTTATTACTGAAGGTGCTTGGCTGCTACAAAAATAGGGGCTGACTAAAATAATGTAAAAAACAGAGTAAAAAATGTTGAGATTGAGCTACAACTTACCTTTAATAGCTACAGATATTTGTCTGAAAGGTATAAGAACCAACCATAATTGCCCCTTTCTTTTTCTTTTTTAACCGGGTGTCTAAACAGAGTCTTCAACACTTTTTATCCCTCTAAACCTGTCTTCTAAGACTTGAGGTTTCCAAATGGGCATTTTTAAAGTAATTTACTTCTGTAAAACCAGTAACTGGTGGGAGAAGGTAAGTGATCACTGGTTTTGATCAATTCAAAATTATTTATAATTTGGATGCTTCTCTTTCTATTCAAGCCAACCCTTTCTGTGCAAATGTGCTCCAAGCCTTTACATGCTTAGCCAGTCTGGCATTTTAGGTCAGGTGAAACAGATGATGTCCAGATTTGCCTTAAGTATTATCTGTAAGATTAAACTGTGCTTTCTCGTTGATCAAATTTTTAGCTATATGGTATATGTGAGTGTATTTTCCTCTGACACTGTGACTGACTGGAATTATACTATAGCAAATCACAAACTTTCATCTTGTGTGAGTATCATCTCTTTTCAAGGAACCCTTTTTGCATTCTAATCCACCTTGGAGGCTGACCTCTGCGTTACGTATCCACCTCAGCACTGCATGAGAGGGTCCCTTTTCTGCTGGGGGCTTCTTGCCCAGCCAAAGACTCTTATGTTGGGCTGACTGAATTCTAAGGGCCCTGTCCATCAACTCTCTGTTACTAGCCTGACCATAGCAATAGCCCCCTCTCCTCAAAAAAGCTGGACTGGAGAGGGAAGCCATGGTAATTCCCGCTTTTTGCCTAAGAATCACATTCCCAAGACCATCAAAGACAGTTTGCTGTGGAGGGAGGGAATTAAAATTGCTGAACAATGTGAAACATAAACAACCAAATAAAGGAGGTGAAAAAAGGAATTAAGAACTGCTTGTATCCCAGGCATACAAATCAGAAAGGATTCAGCAGATGGATGTGCTTGCAACAACTTGTGTTCCTTGAGAGGGTCTGAGTGGGTGAAGCTGCCATCAGCTCCTCGTAGCCGTGAACATTTCACCCCATGGGACACCCACAGCCAGCGGGACAAAGTTCAATTTGCTGCTCCCCTGAACTAATGCATTTCATCATACCTGTTTGTGCACTTTCTTCTCAAGATAAGTCTGTGCCCACAAACGTGGATGCTGTAAGATATGAGCACACGAGTCATTCTGTCTCTCCCTCCTGC